AAGTATGAAGAAACATCAAAGAAGACATAAGATGACAGGTAAGGTCTGCCACCAGGTTCCAAATCTGGCTCGACAGTATTAGCAATCAGTATCAGCCTAAATGGGTATGAAGTGCAGCCTGTTGACCATGATGGTTCAACATTTCAGATCAGTTCACTTCAACACCACACTGAAATTACGTACATAAAATAACTATTTCAATGTGCAGTCCTTCAAAATCACTAACAAAAGAATGAGAAAGAAACAAGAAATAGGACAACATATATATACCTCAGAACAACACAAATTCTTTCTGGTTTCTATTTCTGAGCAGGTGCCATTCCTTACCACACACATAGTTCTTACATTATAAATAATTTAAAAAAATAAATTAACAGATCATGAAACACAGGATCCAGTTCTAGCTTTCTCCCTGGACTTAACTGCTTTTAGTAGTTCTATACTTCATGCCTGCTTACCCCACTGATCATGTCTCTCTGGCAAGATACCAGCATATCAACACTTAGGTAAGTTACAAGTTCTCAAACCTTTGAATATCCCTCACCAAGACTAAAACCTGGCGACAACATGGCTGCTTCAAACATCAACTGTCATTTTCTTATGAAGTTTTACTCTACCCATTAATATAAGTATAAGCTGGGAGAGGAGTGGCTGGAGAGCAGCCCTGAGGAAAGGGATCTGGGGATGCTGGTCAACAGCAGGCTCAACGTGAGTCATCAACGTGCCCTGGCAGCCCAGAGGGCAAACTGCACCGTGAGGTGCACCAAACACAGTATAAACAGCTGGTCAGAAGGGGTGATTATCCCACTGATTACAGAGAGAGTGGTCAAACACTGGAACAGGCTTCCTAGAGAGGTGGTTGGTGCCCCAAGCCTGGCAGTGTCTAAGAGGCATTTGGACAATGCCCTTAACAACATGCTTTACCTTTTGGTCAGCCCTGAAGTGGTCAGGCAGCTGGACTTAATGATTGTTGCAGGTCTCCTCCAACTGAAATTATTCTATTCTATTCTATTCTATTCTATTCTATTCTATTCTATTCTATTCTATTCTATTCTATTCTAGTCTAGTCTAGTCTAGTCTAGTCTAGTCTAGTCTAGTCTAGTCTAGTCTAGTCTATTCTTTATGCTGTTGTATATGGTGATTTTCGCAAAAGAAGTGTTACTTGTTTGTTTCATGTTTAGAATTAAATGATGTTTCCATTTGTTTTACTTTCTTTTTTTCATTCTCCTTGATAACAAAACTGTCAAATATGTCAATGCAAATTCACGAAACGCAACACGTATTGCAGTCATCCTGAAATTATGCAAGCATGGATCAGACTAGACACATGACCAAGGTACAGAAATACTATAGCTAAAGAAGACCCCTAAATATAATTCTCTAAATCAATACTGGTAAATCTTTTAAAATATTTTTGATGTTTTCTACGTTCAGTCTCCTTGTTGGATATAATAATGCAAATTTTCTATTAGATTATGATGCATTTATTTTAAAAAGTAAATAAAAAGTCAGTTTTCTGAAAGCAAAAAACAAAGGAAAATAATAATGCATCCCTTATTCAGCTGTTACATATGGAAAGTATTCATGATGACATTATTAACTCTATCAGAATTAAAAAATGTAGCAGTGGGGATTACTAGGAAATTTGAAACTCTTTAAACTTAGGCTCAACAGCTGAAGGAAAACTTGTCCACTACCACTCCAGAATGTGATGTTTCTATACTCTTTATGCATACCTGTGAAACAATTAATGCTGTTGCTCTTTTAAATATTTTTTTAAAATTACAGATAATCATAAATGGAGACTAGTAAGAAACATATTTTTCATTCTAGCTACATTGATATTCACCAGCACAGAAGGAACATCACGCTGCTTAATTAACCTGAAAAACTCTGGACAAAATATAAGATTGCTCTGAAAAATCACTATGTTAAAGAAGAGCAACTGAACATTAAACCTAGGTACATTCTTATCCAGTAGAAGATAATATGACTAGATTGAAGTCAGAGAGCGATACAGAAGAACCGGTAATAATGGAGATGATATATCCCCTTTATGTAGCTTGCATTACATTAAAAAAGGCTGAGGTTTCAAAGAACAACTTTGAATTATGAATTTTTATGCAGCAGTGGCTACATGTTTTCTTATGCATATCTTCTTCAGCAGTATTTTCTTATGATACACTGTGTATTAAGTTTCAAGAACTTGCAGACCATTTACGATATCTCTGTGACTGTATTGGGTTTGCACTGCAAGGTTTTGGTAGCGGGCAGGCTACGGGGTGGCTTCTGTGAGAAGGTGCTAGAAGTCTCCTGTGTCTGACAAAGCCAGTGCCAGCCGGCTCCAAGATGGACCAGTCACTTGCCAAGGCCAATCCCATCAGCAAAGGTGGTAGCAGCTCTGGGATAATGTATTTAAGAAGGGGGAAAAGGTTGCTGAGCAACTGCAACTGCAGACAGGAGAGAGGAGTGAGAATATATGAGAGAAACAGCCCTGCAGACACCAAGGTCAGTGCAGAAGGAGGGGAGGAGGTGCTCCAGGCACTGGAGCAGAGATTCCCCTGCAGCCCGTGGGGAAGCCCACGGTGAGGCAGGCTGTGCCCCTGCAGCCCAGGGAGATCCACGGTGGAGCAGATACACACCTGCAGCCCGTGGAGGAACCCACGCCGGAGCAGGGGGATGCCCGAAGGAGGCTGTGACCCCGTGGGAAGCCCACGCTGGAGCAGGTTCCTGGCAGGACCTGTGGAAAGAGGAGCCCAGGCTGGAGCAGGTTTGCTGGCGGGACTTGTGAGCCCGTGGGGAATCCACGCGGGAGCGGTCTGCTCCTGAAGGACTGCACCCCGTGGGAGGGACCCACGCTGGAGCAGTTCGTGAAGAGCTGCAGCCTGTGGGGAGAATTCACACTGAAGTTCGTGGAGGACTGTCTCCCGTGGGAGGGACCCCACAGTGGAGCGGAGGAAGAGTGTGAGGAGTCCTCCCCATGAGGAGGAAGAACAGAGACGTGTGGTGAACTGACTGCAACCCCCTTTCCTTGTCCCCCTGCGCCACTCACAGGGGAGGGAGGAGTGTTTATGGGCAAGAATCAGGGGCAAGGCCACCAAGGCAGATATCATGATGGGCATTTGTTGCAGACCACCCAACCATGACGAAGAGGCAGCTGAAATATTCTATGAGCAGCTGGGGTAAGCCTCACGACTGCTACCCGTTGTTCTCGTGGGGGTCTTCAACTTACCAGATGTCTGCTGGCAATACAATACAGCAGAGAGGAAATGGTCCAGGAGGTTCCCGGAGTGTGTGGAAGATAACTTCTGACACAGCTGGTGAGGGAGCCAACCAAGGAAGGCATCCCGCTGGACATGTTGTTTGCGAACAGAGAAGGACTTGTGCGTGATGTGATGGTTGGAGGCCGTCTTGGGAAGAACAATAATGAAATTACAGTTTTTGATTTTCAGAGAAGGAAGGGGTTCAGCAGAACGGCCACCCTGGACTGCCGGAGCACAGACTTTGGCCTGTTTTGACTGGTTGACAGAGTCCCCTGGGAGGCAGTTCTGATGGGCGAAGGAGTCCAGGAAGGCTGGGCATTCTTCAAGAAGGAAATCTTAAAGACAGAGAAGCAGGATGTCCCCATGTGCTGAAAGATGAGCCAGCAGAGAAGACCAGCCTGACCGAACAGAGAGCTTTGGCTGGAAGTCAGGAAAAAAAGGAGAGTTTATGACCTTTGGAAGAAGGGGCAGGCAACTCAGGAGGACTACAAGAACATCATGAGTTAACATTTGGACCTGATGATCTTAAAGGTCTTTTCCAACCTAAATGACCCTATGATTCAATAATTCTAAAAAGAGAGGGGTGGGGGGGAAGGTTTTTATAAGATTTAGTTTTATTTCTCGTTATCCTACTCTGCTTTGTTTGGTAATTAAACTAATTTCCCCAAGTTGAGTCTGTTTTGCCCATGACAGTAACTGCTGAGTGATCTCCCTGTCCTCATCTCAACCCATGAACCTTTCATTATATTTTCTCCCCTATCCAGTTAAGGAGGTGGAGTGATGGAGTGGCTTTGGTGAGCACTTGGCATCCATCCAGGGTCAACCCACCACAGTGACTTTTAAAGAAAGTATTAAAAGCCATGGGAACGAGATGACTGTCAAGAATTACAGTTCATTTTAATGACAGCATCTTAGACGCACCACCTTTTGCTAGCATTGCAGTTGTGACCATGCACAGTATGATAACTCTGTAATCGTGGGCAGTAGAGATTTTGGATGTTTTCTGAGGAAGCTGCATTATCCTCACATAATACCATTGATTTACAATTCTTCTCCCGGTGCTGGTAACAGTGGCATCTGGAGAGAGCATTTATTTTTGAATGCTTGATACTCTCATCACAGCAGAGATCAACAGCGAGTCAAGGATGTCTGTCAGGTTCATCTTACAACTTCAACAGAGGCCGAATTTTTTGAATTAACACGGTGATTTAATATGTTTTCTGTTGTCAAAGTAAAGACAAGGTCATTCTGATTACTAGTCCATTTCTTTTCTGAATCTGAAGTACGCTTCAAGTAACTGTAAAATTCATGGTTCATATATTAGCATTAGTTTTTAGTTGTTAAAAAGAAACAAGAGTCAGTTCAATAGCCCATAAATTACAATGTATTTGCAGATAATAATTTGCGTTACCAGCTGGTAGTATTCAGTGACCATAAACTACGGATCAGATCTTGTAAGTACCCATTGTTCTCCATGTGAAAACCCCTCGTTTAACTCTGAATGCAACATTGCTTGGTTAAGAAACACAAAGTGAGAAATGCAGTAGTGAATTCACTCAGGTAAATTTGCATGGTATTTCACAGACTTAAAATCAGATACGTTTCTTGCTTCCCAGATTCTGCAATTTTGGGCCTACTTCACTGAAACTTTTTTCTAAAATTAGAATTGGAACTTCTCACATGGCTATGCTGGAAGGATTTGATGCAGAAGACAGATTTTTTTACACCTTTTTATTGGACTGGCAAGAGGCCTAACAGTCAAACAAAGGACATGACATAGAGAACTGCAGATTTAGGTACTAAAGAATATTGAAGTGCTACCAAAGATCTGGTACTATACAAAACAGAATAAACAAAAGATTACTTAAGGCGTGGACATCAAACAAATGATGCAAGAAATGAGTTGGTTTTTTTTTTTTTCCCCCTGTGGAGCAAATACCTTTTAAGTTCATCTCATAATTTACAATTCTGTCCATCTTAGTCCATAAATAGGGTGAAATTCTACTCACCTTGTGTACTTCCCTTTAGCTAACTTTAGATATTACATTAATATATACACATCTACAGCTGAGCTGGTCATTTTGTGCTCCCTTTACCAATAATTGAGAAGTGCTGGCACTCTCACAGTATGACTCATCTGATTTTAGGGTGAGATGGACAGAATGCGTGTGCTTCCACTGATTCTTAAGTAGATGCAGAAGACAAGCACAGACCTAGACTTCTGTATAGCAGGAATGTAAAATTTTTAAGATAAAGTCCTCTCTATAATTCATCACTTTTATACAATGTATGTGTTCCAAAAAAAATTAGTACATACTGAAGAATATCAGAGTATTTCCCAGGGGTACTTAGTAAGTCTATGTTAAGTCATCTGCATTTGATAACATTAATTCCATGCAATGTCTGGCACTTCTGGTCCAACAAAATATATCAGATAACATCTTTATTGTAAAACATTACCTTACACATACATCCAGTATAAATACAACTGAGGACATAGGCTATTTAAAAAACTTGCTTCAAAAATTATTTAAAATTTGGAACAGTAGCAGGTTAGCATGTACAATCATTTGTGCATTTAAGGTCCTTGAAGGCTAGGTCATAGTAAGGCTGAGGTATATTGGGGTATATTCCTAATGTCTGCTCGGAAGTGAATGTCAAGAAAAAACAGAGAGCTACAAAAATGGAAAGCTTCAACATTTTCCAAATGTTTCTACATTTCCAAATGAGGAAACAAATGGAACCCAGTAAATGTGATTTTTTTTTTTTTTTTCCCAATTAGTAGAAGACCTCAGGCTTTGTATTGACCTGACAGTGCAAGGTCTCAGAATTTGTCTGGGCTGGTCTCAGATTGAGTTGGCTTTAGCTTGCTTTAACAGTGGTCTAGTGGTCAAGTGAGTATGGCGTGATGTGTTTTATCTTAACCTTGGTCAATGCCACATATGGCAACAGTCTGACAAACTGAGTCAGTCAGTCTGTACAAAATGACAGCCATTTCTATCAGCTGAGGCTGGGAAGGCTGCAGAGCAACTCTCAGACTTGAGCTGGAAGCCGATGAGAAGGAAGCAGATTGTGTTAAAAAACAAAACAAAACAAAACATATAAACACTATCAGGTTACAAGATGGGAAGAAGAAAGCAGGCATCTCCTCCTGGGAGAAAGAAGAAACCCCGCAGTGGGAACACTATCCTGAGGGAAGACCTCATGATTCTGTCATCTTCTAAGCCCCGCCTGCATTCTCCTTGAGAGGGACAGATAGGTCCCTTAGGATCCAGAGGAACATTTGAAAGGTGACCTTAACACCAAAGAAAAGTGTAGATACTAGCTGCATTTTAAAAGAGAGAATCTTCTCTAGGAGATAACTTGGACTCTTAAGACTGTTAAAACACTAATTGGGCTGACAATCAATTAATCCTGAATGTCTATTAAAAAATCCCCAACACTTCATTATTAAGTATCCCCGTATTGCTGTTTATCCACTAGAAAACATTCAAATTATACTAGTTTTTGTCTTCAAAGGGAAGTATACACATTGTCTCAGTATTGCCTCAGTCTATCCTTTATAAGAAGAAAAGTCTTGGCTTGATTAGGCTGGAAACTTGCTTTTATGTGAAGTACAAGTTTCAAGAAGTCAGGAAGGGTAGAATTGTAGCATTTGTTAAGTGACGCTTTGACTCACAGGTTTGTAATGGAATTTCCTCCTATCTTAAGGAAAGCAATATGTCAATGACTAGTTCTTACTCATCATTAAAAATTTGTGCTTGGAAAGAATATAAAAATGTTCCTTAAAAAGAATATTATAAGAATTCATGAGGACCGTTCTCTTTTTAAATTAAATTTGTCTGACAGATCCATGCATTAGAAATATAAAACACTGTATTTATAAAACATTCATATTTGCTTTGAGAATATGGTTGAAAAATTATGCTACAAAAATTGAAATCCTGAGGTATCTAGCATCGAGTTACAGGAGCTTAATTACAGTACTTAATCTTTGCTAGTGCACTATGAAGATTTTTAATAACGTGACAACTGAATAGAAGTGGCAAAAATTTGGCACTTCCAGTGTTTAGACTAGTCAAACACTTTTAAGGGTAAGTGGTCTAGAAACATTATGATCAGTTCCACATGTCCAGCTACTAACTCAAAGATACACACGCTTTATGATTCCTCTGAACTGCGTATGTTTCCTTCTTTTTAGCATGGGGTGGAGAATGTTACCATTTTCTCTGGTGTGTGTTTTTGAACATCTCCAACTGTACAAATACATACAGAGGCACATACATGCGTGAGCAGTTGCCTTCTTTTGTATGAGCGGAATACTTGCTAGAATTGCAGAGATGAAAGCCGTTCAGTGGTCCGAGAAGCCAGTGCCACTACATGCTTCGCAGGACTGAACACAAAGTGAGAGGACAGAAGCCAGAAATAAATCATCTGAATGAAAAGTTACCCAGTTGGAGGCCTCTTAAGGAGTCCAGGTGCATTTGCATACAGACACCCAAGCACTCTACAGTGAGCATTTCTTTCCTTGCAACTTGGTATTGTCCTAAAATTACCTGACACGGCTCACCCTTCTTCCCCACTCTCTCCGCACAGCTCGCTCTTGACCGCCCTTTGACTAGTTTGGATCAGAAACCTCAGGAACACGCCAGACTGAAGAAGTAAGAGCGGAGGCGCGGGTAGAGCCCACGCTGGGGCACAGACGTGGTTTGGGGAGCGCCGAGCCTGCAGCCACGGACGAGCCGCCCCCCAGCACAGAGGGCCGAAGGCCACGGGAACCCATCGCCGGGAGAGCCGGAGGCCCCGGCGCTGCCGGGAGCTGCCCCCACGCCGTCTTTGACCACGCGGAGTAGAACCGGGGTGGGCCGGCACCGCGGCGAGACGCGTTTGTCCACAGGGAAAAGGCAGCGGGCGGCGCCGGTGCGGGCGGTGAGGGAGGGAGGGAGGACGGCGGAGGAGGAGGAGGCGGAGGTGCGGCCTGCCGCCGGGGTAGGCCTGGGCACAGCGCCGGCTTCCCGCGGCGTAGAGAGGGCAGGGAGGAGGGCGCGGGAGAATCTGGCGGGGCGGGGCCGGGTCACGGCCACGGCCACGCAGGCCCCACGCCGCGTTTCGCCCCGCCTGCTCGCTTTACGGCAGCGTCGTGACCGCGCCGGCTCTTGGCGGCAGCGGAACCGGCGGGCCGGAAGGCAGGTGCGCGGCGGGCGGGGGGCGGCCGGGGCTGCGGCGGCCGGGGGCGGGCGGTGTTCGCCGCTGGTGCGGAGCCGCCGCCTGGTCCCCTCGGTGAGGAGCGGGGCCCGGCTGTTTCGCGGCAGCCAGGCCGCTGGCCGGTGCCAGCCCCGGCCCGTTCCCCGGGCGGGCAGGGTGCCCCGGCCCCAGCGCGCCCCTCGGCGCGGGGTGGCGGGTAAAGGCCGGTCCCGTTCACCTCGTTCTGTCTCTGCTCTGGGCCCCGGTGCGTTCACGGAAAGAGGGATAACGGGAGCATCGCCAAGGGTGGTGGTGGTGGTGGGGGAATGGGCCTGAATGCCCTCAGGAGTTAGTAGTGGTATTAATAAACGTAGCGAACTGGAAGGGCGAAAAGCCGGCGGGTGATCACGTAGTGTTTCTCCCGTTCGAGCGCTACTTGCTTCATTTTGGTGGGTGATGGTAAACCGACAGCTTTGCTTGTAAAGTGCACGACGATCTCTAGCGTCGAAGGCTTACCCTTCACGTGCTTCAGGAAACTGTCGTGTCAGAATTTGAGTAATACCTTTATTTAAAAGCTGTTATGAGTTCCGAATTTAGATTTTGTTGTTTTCAATATACTAACATCTGTGTAGACCCTTTTCAGTCTTCAGGCTTTTTAGAGACTGTGAAACAGTACTATTGAAGTGGAAATGGTAATCCACTGCCGCAGAGCAGAGATCTAATAGTCAAGCTTAATCGTTTTCTTGAGGATAGACTTGACTTGAGCCTAGTCAGTGAGTAGAAAAAACGTTAGAAATTCCAGAGAAGGTGCAGGAAGGGTTATGTATGTCCACATGGTAGGTTGCAGAGATAAATTTTTAGGAGGAAGAATACTAAACCAACTGTCAGTTCAGGTGCAAGCTGGCTTTCATCTGAAGGTCACATTGTATCGGTGAGGTGCTGAGTCTAAGTAAACACACACCGCTTTTCACCGGACAGGGTAAAAAAAATAAATTCCTTTTTATCTGACTTGCTTCTGGCGATGACAGTAAACTTATATCATCCTGGAATTAGGTGCATAGATATTTGGAGGAACTCTTTTGCTATTTATATGGGAACACTGACCAACTCCTGACTAGGGCCTTTTGCATTGTATAAATTAGTTTAAAGGTTAGACCTGCGCAGTTTTCTCTAAAAGCTAGCTTGGCCTTTGGAAGAGGTGAGATCACTAGATCCATTGAAATAGGAGGAAGATGAAAAGTTGTTGAATGACAGTATATGGTTCTGGCAGTTCTGTATTTATGGAACTTTCTTTGAAGCTGAACCTGAAGTGATGCTTGGGCTTTCTGCTTTTAAAATTAAGAGGAGTGCACACTGCTATTTTTCACCCTTTTGTTTTCTTCTTGATCCTTTCTGCAGCTGACACATACGTGTTTCTGAAATACATCAATGTATTTCTCCTCCCAATAACCTATCTAACCCAAGTTTGTTGTATCTTTCCTAGTAGGTAATGTCTTATACGTTGCTGGTCATTTTTGTTATCCTCCACTGCATCCTTCTAAACTGGTATGTGTCTTGCTAGGGGCAGGGTGTGCAACAAAGACAACAGTACTCTAATGGAGTCTTCTGGTACTGACTAGTGGAAGGACAACTTGGTATATTTTAAGGCCTCACCATTGTCTTTAAATATTAATGTTTCCTGTCTTTCCGTGTTTCCAGCATGACAAATTACATGATGATTGTGACTTGCTGTAGTCTGTAGATGTGTTTCTGCAAAACTGCAACTAATGTGTTGTTTCTTGGCACCCTCTCTTTTTGTAGTTCCTTACTCTTGCTTTAATGTAATATGTTTTACTATTCATGTTCTTTCAAGATAATTGTAAATTTTAATTTGGCATCTAAGATAGTTGCAGTCCCTTGCATCTCCAGTATCATTTACAGATTTAGTACGTGTAGTCTTCTGTTGTCAGGAAGAACATTAGAGAGTTGAAGAATCTTTTTTTTTACAGAGTTAATAGAAAATTCATCCTTCGTAAAGTACCAGTGTCTATTTCTGCATGTTCTGGTTAAGTTACAGCTCCATCTCTGAAAAAAGTTATCCTTTATAAATACTGAACTGAGCTCAGGCTGGTCCATGTTCTTCCTGAGTGTTTCATTCCTCTTCTCTTACATAGTCATAGGAGCTGCTGTTGGGTTAGGGAGGTGGTAAGGGGAAGGAAAGGCACATGTCTTTTGCTGGATAGTTAAAATGTAGAGTTTATTTGGAAGATGTTAAATGTGTGATTAATTCTAACTCATATTAGTGTTTTGAGTACTGAACAGGTTTTATTTTTGCCCCTACAAAATTTGCTGGAAGTCCTCATTACTCCAGGTAACAGATTAATGTTTTCCTGGTAAATTGTTTTTAGTAACAATTGTTGAAGCTGGTGTTGAGCGCTTCCCATCCTATGCATTTTTTTAAACTGAATTATGCTTTAATGTTTGGAGAAAGAAGACAAACCAAAATCTACTCTCTAGTTTGGACAAGCTTATCTAATTGAAGGCAGTTTAAAAAGTGACCTATAATGTGTAGTTGGAAGTTTGTTAGAAATATGGTAGCTGATGTCTGAACTAAGAGAAGGAAACAAGGGTTGAACCCACAGAGACATTAGGCTCATTAATACCTAATTGTAATCTCTGAGCTGTTGACTTCAGTAACTACCAAGGTATCTGACTTCCATTCATTCATCTAATTATTTTTTGAGCGTGCTTGCACTTGAAGTTTGTTGGCATCTTGTGACAATGAATTCCCAGATGTAATTACGTTCTACATAGGAAAGGCATTCCATTTGGTATTGTTTTCACCCTAATATTCGGTTTTATCATGTACCTCCTTATTCTTACATTATGAGCAACAGTCAGTCATTCTGTATTTACCTATTCTTGCTTTTTAAACCTCATCACATCGCAGAAATGAGCAATTTTCTATTTATTGCAATCACTCTCCCTATGGGGATCTACAGTGAGGACATTCTTTATGCTCCTCTCTCTGAGGAATTTGATCGCCTCTGTTTGCACAAAGCAGTGCGAGCATGTGCTTGTACTGGGTTTAGGAGTTAACTTTCATCATAGTCATAGTGCTTTAGATTTGTGGCTAAAACAGTGTTGATAACACACCAGTGTTTTGGTTGTTGCTGAGTGGTGTTTGCATAGCATCAAGGCTTTCTTTTTCCCAGCCTGCTGTCCAGTGAGTTGGCTAGGGCAAGAGGTTAGGTGGGAACACAGCTGGGACAGCTGACCTGCATTGGCCAGAGGGATAGTCCATACTGTGTTGTCATGCTCAGAATTAAAAACTGAGGTAGAGGAAGAAGAAAGGGCTTTTTTTGCTTCCAAGGTGTCTGTTGTTTGGAGATTGGTGGGGCACTGGTCACCCTGTGGGATGTGGTGAGCAATTTCCTTCGATTGTTTTTTGTTTGTTTTTGCTTTTGTGTTTTTTTTTTCCTTCCATTACTAAACTGTCTGCATCTCAACCCGTAAGTTTTCTTCCTTTTGTTCTTCCTATTTTCTCCCTTGTCCCACTCTGATGGGGGATGAACAAGCAGCTCTGTGGCTGTTTGGCTGCTGGCCAGGGTCAACCCACCTCAACACTTTGTGCAGACACTGAAAAATGTGATTGAAGGAAGAAGTAGCAGCATGCTTTGGTTCTGTAGTAACAGTGCTCACTGAATTAACCCCTGGTGTGAAAGGTCCCTATGCCCTGTGTTCCCTTAGGTTATTCTAGTCACTTGGTATAGAGTATCCCTCTTGAAGCTGTACGTGACTGTGTGTAGTTTATTGAAAATCCATTAGGCTAGGTAGAAACCAAAACCGACTTAAGCTACAGTGGCTATTCTGGACTGCTTGGGCATTTACCAGTTTGTTTTTGCTGAAAGAACAGTTGGCATTTTCTGTGTTTTCTTCAGTACATCATTCATGTGTGGACAAGAGTTTGGTGGCCAGCCTCTAGCTGAATGCATCTCTCTGAGATGCAAATTAAAACCTGTGTTATTTTTCTGGCTTGTTAAATCTTGTTGTTGCTAGAGAAGAGTATCTTTAAGAGGAGGGTGGAGAATGTTTTACCTAATTGATATTTTAGGGAAGGAAAAGTTGCTAGCTCTCCCCTTTCATTGTATGCTGAGTTTAGGATTGTAGCTTAAGGATATGGACTATACACCTCCATAGACTTTTCCATCATTTGTTCTATGGCATGTATTTACTCTGAGCCATCTGTTTCTCTTGCTTGCCCAAAAGGTATATTGGCATTTTGGCCTGAAAAATAAACAAACTGATATTGCAAGGCTGAAACTTAATCATGGTGGTCATACAGTAAGAATAGATGATCACGGAATGATGAGTTGGTGATTGAAGCATTTATTGGATGATTTGTGGAGTAAATTTCTGTTTTCCTGTTGTAAAATGGATTCTGAAGAAGTTGTGAGAATACGTAGATGAGTTTGTACAATAATGACTTACTTGCACATGTTTCTTAAAACGTATTTCTTAAAACATAGGCAGAAACATTTATATCTATATCAACCACTCCTTTCTTTGAAACTTGTGAAGCTGCTGAACTGAGTTGCTTAGTGAGTCTGTATTTGGAAGCTGGATTCTGATTAATTTGTTCAAGAAATGTGAAGGCATTATTCTTAGCTGCTGCTCTATGGGGGAACAATTTGTTCTCTCCTTGGAAGATTAGGAAAGAGTAAAGAGGGTCGCTGAAAGTACTCTCTTCCATTTCTTTCTGTAAATTTATTATTTGTGGTGAGCTGACCCTGGCCAGCAGCCAAACACCCACCCAGCCTCTCATTCACTCCTTTCTGCTGTGAGATGGGGAGAAAATATGAGATTTGTAACAGTTGTTTGGGAACACAAACACCATAAGCATGGATGTTGTCCCACCTCTTGCTTCTCCTTTCCCTGAGGTTTTTATTGCTGAGCGTGCTATCATATGGTATAGAGCTGTGTTGCATCTGAAGCATGAATATCAATAAAATGCTTGGTTATGTAAT